CTTTTGTTTCTGTTGAGAGAACAACGGATTTGTGGCTAAAACGTTGTGCGCGCGAATGTAGGTTGCTGTAAAATGTCAGACAGGCGGTTTCTTTTGAAATCTGACTCTAGTTTGAAATCTGACTCTAGCTTGAAATAAGTCCTTTTCAAGGACCAATTGTATAAAAATATAATATGTATGCTCAAATAAAATGAATAATCTAATATTTAGGCATTTTAGATCGCTATAAAAGAGTGAAATAAAGGATTTCATCTTTGGTTGTTTGTCAGACGAGAGTAAACACATTGGTGACACATTGGTGACACTTTGTTGCGCATGCAGTTTTCAAAAGATAAACTGCTAAAAATATAGCTTTTATTTCACCAAATAGCAAAGTATCTTGCAGATATTATTAAAAGAGCTCAAGCGAAGTAATTCCATGATAAATAAGTGAACAATGAGACCAAAAAAGCGACTAAATTACAATTTTGGAAAGTACACAAATTTAATGGCTTCCCGCAAAAGAAGCCATTTCAGAGGAGAACGGCATTTTGTAAACTGCTCTCCTGACCTATTTTAAACTTTTCCTTTAGGTAATCGATGAGTACTTCATAGAAAATGAGCGTACATTAGTTTTATGATGTGCTTTATTGATTTAAAAATTTTATGGGGATATATGAAGCGATAAAGTGTATTTTAGAAGCTTTTCAAATCCCTGTCATGAAGGTTCAGAATTCGCACGCGCTAAGTAACGGCATAATTCAATACACTGATTTTAAACCACATTATCTCTGAAATGAGAGCTCGTTTCGAGACAAAGTTTATAGAAACAGATATAGTATTCATTGTAGAGTATTCCACTTAGTTTTAATGCGGTTTTACTCGAAATTTTTCTTGCCAAAAATGTATATACGCACATGACAAGTTGAACCTACTGTCTTCTGAAAGTACTTCGGCTAAAATAACAACTTGAGCAAGACGACCAACAGTAGGGTCACGAAAACAGTCGAAATCAAGCCATAAAATGCATGAAAAGTTCTTCTAAAAACTTAGTTTTAAACTAGATTGAACTTGCTTTAATGCTATATCGTATTTCATGAAAACATGCCAGGTATTTTCATTCAAAAACACGCTCAAAAAAATCGTAACTACTCACTTGGATTTAGTGTTCATGTTTCTTGCAATTTCTCACTTCACTTTTCCGTTAGATTGAAAGAAATTGCTGTTTTTCTGGCTGAAAATCGCGCGACTTGATTTGGACAAGAACTTGACTTGAAACATATGCACACTCCCTTATGTTTTACAATATATTTTATATGTAAAACTCTTTAAAAACCTCTTCTTTTTCATCCTTAAAACTTGCTGCAAAGTCCTATCTTGTGACACTTTGCGGTTGTCACAGGTTTTGCAAAAAAATAGAGTTTTAAAATCGAAAATCTTCGCAACCTTTTGATCAATTTTCTCGCATGATGTATCGTTTGAAAGCCCGAATTTTGCACTTTATACTCGTGACCGTTGCTAGGCAACCCGATAAACACGCGCTAGACAATCGTGCCCGGAAGTTGACGTGTCATCCAGGGCGCATGAGGGCGCAATGAGACTTACCCCGTTCCCAATTCCAGGGCGCATGGGGGCGCAATGAGACTTAATGAGTTAAAAACAAGTAAAACAACAAATTAAAGAAATATGAAGGATTTTTCTAGTCTAATATTTACTGTTGATAAACCAGAACTGTCTATGCAGTGTCTACTGTGTCCCTGCTGGCACAAATGCTGTGGGCACACAGCGCAAGCAAAGCCTGCAATTCCATTGTTCAGCAGATTATAAATACTTCAATCATTAGCTTTTGTATCGTATTAAGTTCGTATTTAATTCAGGAAATAGTTTTAATTCTTTTAAAAACTATATTTTCTAGGGAATTGAAAGAATTTTTTAGGATTTTATAACAGCTATATACACATGTGAAGCAATATCACGATAGTCATCGAGCATGACGATAATTTTGATATATCGTCGCTCAAGTTTCTGCCTTTGATACGATAATCATGATTGAAAATATCGCGATAAATCAAAATATCGAAATATCGCCCAACCCTAGCTGCCAGGCATGTTTTTATTGTCAGATAAACTTTTTATAGTGCATGTCAGCATGTACCTGATTCAAATTTTGTTTTTTTGTGGGCCAAAGCCAGGATCAGAGGCAGTATAACACATATTGACGAATCAACATGTTAAATATTGTCCCCTTAATTCATATCCTCCACCTTGGTATCCCAGTGGCCATTGTCCAATGGCAAGTGATTTTTTATATTCAAGGCAACTAATTTTCCTGTCCAACTTGCCCTGAGAGCTGGCAAGTGGTAAAAACAGTAAAGTTACACCACTGTTATATATATATATATATATATATATATATATATATATATATATATATATATATATATATATATATATATATATATATATATATATATAAACATTAGAAACGTATGAAAATAGCAGTTGATATATGTCAATAAATTCTCTCAAATCATGTTTAGGTGAGGCATGCCTATGTAGGCATACGAGGATTGACTAGATGCCTATTAAGCTACATTATTCTATACAAAGTTCACTGTTTAAATTAATACAATCTGTCATATACACAGCTATACTATTTGACATTACAATTGTGTCAAATGCTATCGTAATAATGCAAATATTCTCGCGGCAAATTCAAATATATTTAAGCCAGGTCACATGCTCAAAATTCAGGAATGATGATGGTAAATATTTACAAACAAAAAGTGGTAAATATTACGTTTCAAAATTGCTCTATTATATAGAAAACATAACAATATTCTTACCCTGTATGTTACTCAGTCATTCCTGATATTCCATCTTTGTTAAAATACGTTATTTTCATTTAAAATATCCATATTTCACGCTGATAAATTAACTCAAATGAAAATTTCAAAAATATGGCGGCTGATCGAATGACGCTATCCCAGGAAGCTTTGCGCATGTTGTTAGGAAGACTAGGTACCAGGCTGTCAAACCGCGCTCATCGTGAGAATTTAATTAATTTGTGGCAAATTATAAACGTAAGTACGGGAAAACTGGGGGAAATAACTTGAAATATGCAATATTGTAGTTGAAAATAAAATAATTATGTAAAAGTAGCGAAGAATTTTGACATAAAGAAAATGTTTTTTCTTCAACCCCTCTCCCCACCCCCACCCCACCAACCCCCATTAGCAACAATTTTGGGAAAGTTTACACAGACTTTTTTCATTATAGTCAGAGAAAAGTCAGGTAAATTTCCTTCCTCCCTAATTTGTTTCTCTCGTTTGTGCTCATGTGCGAAAACACCTACCTCCACAAACACTGTAAACTTTGGTAAATATAGTTTCCATGAACTCATGCAGACAGTGTGACCAGGTTTTTTCAGGCCAAATTACCACATCCAGTTTCAAAAATTACTATTTTCGGTCTGAAATTACCACGGTGCTATATTTTCCCAATTTTACCATGTTTTTTCGAAAAATTCCCCAAAAATTTTTCCGGACAAGTTCCTCGTAAATTAGGGTCAAAAAAATTTTTCCGGAAAAATAATAATTAGAACAAGGCCAAAACCGTTTTTTTTCCAAAACCAGTTTTTTTTTTAACCAAAATTTGTAACATTTAGGGGTTTTTCACCAAAATCTGTACATTTAAGGTCAGGAAATTTCAAATTACCACAATCGGCCGAAATTTGACGAAAAATTACCACGGTTGTTCTGAAATTACCGTAGTAATTACCACAAATTTCCAATTACCACAATTGCCCAAAAATGACGAAAAATTACCACAGTAGTAATGAAATTATCATGTCTGGTCACACTGCATGCAGAATTTAAAATTAACTCAAACTTTGAAATTTTTACCAGTTAAATAAATATAATATTTTGACCAATTAATATTAATTAAAAGTAAAAAAAAACAATTTAATTGCGACCTATAAAAGTGGTTGTTTCAACCAATTATAGTTTTTACAATGAGGTAACTGGATTATGTATGATCCTTTACAGAATATAGTGGTGAAGTCAGCCCGACAATTTGTTCATGCTACGTAGATAAATATTTCCGTGAAAACAATAAATTTCTAAAGAAATGAACATATGATATTTATTTGAAATTTGCATAGCGTGATCAAATTGTTGGGATGCTTTGGGCACAGGACCACAGGCCATGCAGGCACTGGCTTTATAGTTATAGAACCTAAAGCGTATCTTTAAAAAAAAAAACTATAACAAAATTATAGTTTTCAAAACTTTAGTTATGAAACCAAAATATATGCTAGTGGTAAAAACTATAGTTTTCAAAAAACTATAGTTCCCTTTGGAGTTAGAAAACTATAGTTTATCGGAAAACAACTATAGTTATATTGAAGTTAACTATCGTTTTTTTTTTGTTTTTTTTTTGAAACTATAGTATTCTACCAAACTATAGTTTTTTTTTACCAAAAACTATTAATAGTTTTTCTCATAGTTTTCATAAAACTATAGTCCTTTATTAATTATATACATGAAACTAAACTATGTATACCAGTGGTAGAAAACAATAGTTTTCAAAATACTATAGTTCCCTTGAGTTATATATACTAGTGGTAGAAAACAATAGTTTTCAAAAAACTATAGTTCCCTTGAGTTATAAAACTATAGTTTATTGCAGACAAACTATAGTTATTTTGAAGTTAACTATAGTTTTTTTGGAAACTAGAGTCTTTCACCAAAACTACAGTTTTTGGTCGAAAACTATAGTTTTCAAAAAACTATAGTTTCCTTGAGTTATAAAACTATAGTTTATTGCAGACAAACTATAGTTATTTTGAAGTTAACTATAGTTTTTTTTTGGAAACTATAGTTTTCCACCAAAAAGTATAGTTTTCAAAAAAACTATAGTTCCCTTGAGTTATAAAACTATAGTTTATTGCAGACAAACTATAGTTATTTTGAAGTTAACTATAGTTTTTTTTTTGGAAACTATAGTTTTCCACCAAAAACTCTAGTTTTCGACCAAAAACTATAGTTTTTCTCAAAAAAACTATAGTTTTTGGTCGAAAACTATAGTTTATTTTTGCAGGTTGACTGGACAGATGTTGTGAACGGTCGGGATCCTAGCACTGTTTTTGATGCTTTTGTAACTGAGTATAATAGTCATTTCGAAAATTGCTTCCCTGTAAAAGTAATCAAAATAAACATGTCCAAAAAACCGAGAACTCCTTGGATTATAGCCCGCGTGCAGGCCCAAGGGAACTGATAGTGGGCCTGCAAGCAAGGCCCGGTATTTTGTAAAACGCCCCTTTTCAAAACCAATGACAGCAACCCAAATATTAACTCATTAACGCGCAAGCTGTTACAATGTTTCTACCCCCCTAACGTCCAAGCAATATGGCGAATACGTGACTGAATTCAAGAGCTTTCACCAAAATGGCAATATCTCAGAAACAATTGCATGAATAAATCTGGTCTTTTCAACCAAATATTATTAATATATGATTGACCAAATTTAGTTTAAATGAACTTGCATACCTATATATATCATTAGTTTTTTCAATGAGAATTTTTATTTGTAAACCAGTGACACTATTTTTTTCATGTCACTCATCACCTATAGGGGCAATATCTCCATATATTTATATAAAAACCAAAAAAAAATTATTTACTAAATTAGTACATATCTATATTATAACCAATTTTCATCTATTGGGATATGAATTAGAAAATGATCAAAAATTATAAAAAATACTCCTTTGCTTTTTTGGGCAAGATGTTTACAACATGAAATTTAGAACAGTAACTAAGTGTTAAAATTCAACAAAGTGTGCAAGCCAAAACACAGTGCTTGTACATCTTTGGAGTTTTTAATTACCTCAAATATATTTAAAAGGACATACGGTACTAGAATCTATTTGTTTTCAATATAAACCAAGGATGGGAAGGTGAGAAAATAGGAATTTTCTGAGGTGTTTTTAACACAAAC